TTTCAGCTTTTCTGTTTTAGAATTGTTGTATTAGTAATGTTTCCAAGTCTGAATCTTTCTAGCTGATGTTGGTGAGTTTTCTATACCATGTATCTACATCTGATACTTATCTGATGAATCAAGGTATGTGACAGGTGCCATTCACCTTGGAGTATCGTACTCATTTTTTCAACTCATCTGTTTTCTGGAATGTTTCCTAATAATTTCCCCACCTGAACAGCTTAACATGAAATATGAGTTTTGCCCAGGTTTGATTCTTAGTGAATTCCTAACAGACTAAACATTTAGTCTTTTCCTCTCCCCAGAGATCATATATTTTCTGCAACTAGCTGGCATCATTCTAGCTAGGCTGGTAGCTAATAGTTGTCTGTATTGTGCTGTAAACTCAGAGTTCAGTGTTGAGGGCCCATGAGAGAAAGCTGTGTGAAATACATCTCTTTTGACCATTAAAATATCTAGCTTTTAATATAAGAAAACCCACTATTTCAATGTAAGCAGTTGTATGCAGTGTATAATTCATATCTTTCCCTTTTGAAAATTCCATTTTATTCTAGCCATAGCTGTGCATTTCTTGAATAATTTAAAAGCAGAATGTTTAAGAATGGCTGTGATAGTCTTCACCATAACGGAGAAAAGGCTATTACTAGTCTGAGTTTAGACCTTCACAATGCTAATATTTGCCTTTCTGATAAATTGCTAGAACATGCAGTTTTATTATCATTAGCAGAGGTTTTCTTCAGATCTTTCAGGACAAAGTTCTTTTTTTTGACACTATTCTTGAGCTTTCAAGTAGTTTGATATGTTCTGTGTGAAAACAGCACAATTTTCTGAAGTTGCCAAATTAGTGATATTAATGAGCTCCCATTTTTAACTATTGATGGATTCCTGTATAAAAGAATTACACTAATCACATTTTCAGATTGTTAATGTTTGAAACTAAAGGTTATCAGCTAATTATTACAGTCATTTGCTGTTTATTTTAGTCTCCTGCTACTCTGGTACAGGGGAGCCCTAACTTGAACATTCCTTATTTGCCAAAATGTATGTTCAGACAAGATCTTTTCCTTTAAACTGGATTATGTAATAAGAATTCATGGTTGAGTGTTAGAAAACAGAACTCAATTCTGTTTATGCTGTGATATGCGTAAGGAAGAAAAACCTCCTCCCCGCCAGTGGTTTGGCAGGATAGCAGATAGAGGCTTTCTTGGTCAAAGATCAGAATAGTTAAATAGTTTCCATGTGTATGTGTACATACAGATATTATCTTTCAAGACCAGAAAGACACTGACAGGAGACAGATGATGAAATGACTTTCTTCTTTTACCTGAGCCATGTGGAAAAACTTGCATTGCTGCTCTGCTGTGCAAATAAATCACTATCTCAAAACCTGAGTGCCTTAGAAGCACAGAAGTGACTCAAAACCACCCATCGGTGACATCCAAATAGTCATATTTGTAAGTAAATATAATTCACACATCCAGAATAAACAAAAAAAAATCAATTATTTTCAGTGTTGGAGGACTCTGTCAAAACTGGTTTTAAAAGATACCGAGTATACTTTAAAGCGATGCTGTCAGGTTAAACAACTTGGCTCTCCCTGTCACATGTACAAATTCAGAATCATTTCAATGGAGTTCCTACTCTGGTGCAAGCAAAATGACAGTCATACTCTATCATATGTAAATATTAAGCTGAACAGATTTTAAATTTCTGTTGGTTAGGAAGCAGAGTAATTCCATAAGTTCAGTGAAGTTACTCTGATTATATACTAACATAATAAGGAAGGCCTTGGTCTCTTATCTTCCCTAAAGTATGCTGTGCAGCGTTTTAATGTTGCTCAGGAATTAACAGAAATGTCAATCATGCTTTAGCAGAGCCTAAAAATACTTTCTAGTCAAATGGCTTGTCACAGAAATACTGAAAATGTAAAAGGACACACAATTCTGATTTTTATACTTAGCTGCATGGCCATGCTTATATATGAAGAGCCTGTCTTGAAACAAAATACAGTTTACCCTGGAGACTATAATAATATTCCTTAACATGGGCACTGTGTAAACAAGGATGTAGATTGAAAATTTTTTGTAAGCAATTAGTACGTTCTAGTATCTTAGATGCCAGTGACCAATGGTGAACCCCTAAATAAGGCCCATACTGTCTCTGAGCAGCCAAAGTTGCCAGTAGTACAAATCTTGGTTATTCTGAACCTGAGGTGGTATCGAAGGAACGTGAAATTACTTAAAATAGTTTTGCAGTAGATTCGATGTCAAAGCTGGGTATTGTCTCCTTGAACATCTATGCTGTCTACTTACAAGACATTTAAGGAGAACATAAATGGAATATATTATCTCTCTCATCATGGAAAACTTGAAATTTCTTGTATGCTGCTTCTATCAGCATCAGTGAGTTGTCTGTTTTCTTCAGTTTCTACTTTTTTTCTTTCTCTATATAATATGGAGATAGTTTGTACTATTCTGCCATGAAATAATACAAATGTTTTATTGGGTACATTGTTTAAAATATATATTATGGGTCAGAAGGGGACATTTTGTTTGCAAAACTACTATAAGAAGAAAAATTTAATAATATTCATGGCTTTGGTTATGTAGATATGGTAGTGGATACTTTCCTAATTATTTTTACATAACTAGATGTGAATTAGTCTCTTTAAAATGGCTTCAGTTCTTTCATCAATTGTTTGATATTTTCTTGTGTCCCTTTTTTTGCTTGTGAATGTGAATGATAAAACTCTCCCAGATACATATCTGATACATGCTAAGCTCTTCAATGACTCTGCATGCTTAGCCTAAATTCATGAAGGAATTAAAATGTTTAAATTTCCGCTTTATGTCTCTATTCTTCTTCCATGACACTTGAAGTTCTGTTAATGTATTTTTATCTTCAAAGTCAAGCAGCTCTCACAGCGTTCTTACAGCTTCACATCTACAAAATCAAACCCATAGAAGGGCGCTGCCAGAAAGGTTGGGCCTCAGATCTGGTCTGTTATGTGATGTTTTGAATTTAACAGGGAATGTGCCGATTAGTCCAATATTTTTAGTCCTTGTGCATGGAATCACCTGTAGGACTCTTCACCGCAAGTACCTGTGAAACAGTTGTTCCCTCATTCTTCTGCTTTGGGAAAGGGCCTCAGAAGGGGAGATTTCTGTAACTGCTTCTGGAGCTCAGGTGCTGCCTAGCTATCTCCCCGCTCATTACGCACGGGCACCTGATCTCCTTTTCTCCCTGCGGTGCTTTGGCGTGGCAATGCTCCGCAGCCCTGGGGCACCCAGAACCCCCGTCCCTCCCGGGGGGCCTGTGCCCGTGGCCCAAGCGGAGGTCATGCGGTGCACCAGCACAGTTGTATTGCTGGCAGCGGGAAAACCACTGTCGAAGTGTCCCCACCTCTGGTCCTGGCCTCTTGTGCAGATATTTGTCAAAATGCCGTTTTTCAGTCTCTTTTACAGTCACTAGTAATGTGCTGGTTATTCAAGCTTTATTGAGGCAAACGTTCTGAGCTGCATGCCCCTAGTGCAAATTAGACTAACTAGAGCTTGACACCTGTGAACACTTGAAATAGTATATAGTACCCTTGGTTCGGTCTCATTAAAACTAATGAATTAAGTTTGTGAACCTATGTACCTAATGTCTTTATTTTCAAGCACTGCTGTCCTGGTTCTGTATGCATAACAATTAGCTTTCAGCGTTTGCAGCGAACATCCCCAGGCCATTTTCTCGATATTTATGCAATTAGTTTTATGAACTTTGCTTTAGGAGTTGCTATGTGATTAACAGTCATTACCTCCTTCTATTGCCAATTTTACAAATCACCTAGAGATTCCGTGTTCCGCAATTAAGTTTTCTTATTCACTGCAGAAAGCCAGAACATTTTTGTGGCGGGCTCACCCAGCTACCAAACACCGCGGGCACGCCGGCTGTGGTTGCACTCCGAGGGTAACCCGCTGCCACCCGCCCTCCCCGCCGGCGACTGCCGAGCAAGTACCGCTCGCGGAGCCGTTTGCCCGGGTTCGCTCTCGCCGCGTTGCTCCCTCATCATGTCGGCCGGGTTAAGCGGTTTAACAGCGAGGGAGGGGAGACGCTGGGTC